GAGGGTCAGAGGGAGAAGCAGGCTCCCCGCTGAGCCGGGAGCCCCATGTGGGACTCGATCCCAGGACCCTGGGATCACGACCCGAGCCGAAGGCAGTCGCTTAACCAACTGAGCCACCCAGGCGCCCCTAAAACTGGGTTTTTAAAATAAACCCTTCCAAGGGTTTTCTATCACCAGAGCAATGGTTCTTAAACTTTGGTATATATCAAAAGTATCTGTAGAGTTTGTGAAAACAAGGATTACTGGCCTCCACCCTAAGAGTTACTGATTCATTAGGTCTAGGTGGGGCCCAAGAACTTGCATTTTTAATAGCTTCCTAGGTGAGGCTGATAGAGCTGGTAGGGGGCCACACTTTGGGAATCACTGACAGCCTCCAGCTGAAGCCCTTTAGCTTAGCGCTAATGTCCCTTCACAGTCTGGCCCTACGTGTTTTTCCAGCTTACTCCTCTATAGGCTTCCTGTCATCTTAACTTTAATTCATAAAGATCTAGTTCTTAGTGCCCCACCACATTCTGGCTCTCTATTAGACTTTGGGCATCGATTCATCCTGAGCATCAGGCCCAATGCCCGGCACATAGAAAATGTTCAATTAATGTTTTTGAACCAGTGATTGGTCCTAGACCACCCCAGTATCCTGTCATCTCACATGAACAGATAACTATCTTCTTCTAAAGCCAATGCTACCCCTTTGTTGAAATCCCCTGGGAGAGGGACCATAAAGAAAATGAAATAAAAAAGCCAAACAATACTCATGAGGTATAAACCTTAAAATTCCAAATATACCAAAATATACAAGCCATGCATCCTTGGGCATGCAGCCAAAGGGAAGATTCTAATTAGAGTTAATTAGACTTCAGTGTTCATGAACTTTAGAAACACCAAGTGGAGGAGCGCCTAGGTGGTTCAGTCCATTGGGTGTCTGCCTTTGACTGCCCGAGTCGGGCTCCCTGCTCAGCAGGGAGTCTGCTTCTCCCTCTCCCTCTGCCGCTTCCCACCACTCATGCTCTCTCTCTCAAATAAATAAGTAAAATCTTTAAAAAAAAATAAAAAGAAACATCAAGTGGAAATGCATGGTGAGAGTCTGGTACATACTTGAAATGAACAGAAAAGTACAGTAGGGGGCGCCTGGGTGGCTCAGTCAGTTGAGCATCTGCCTTCGGCTCAGGTCATGATCCTGGGATCCTGGAATGGAGCCCCACATGGGGCTCCCTGCTCAGCGGGGAGCCTGCTTCTCCCTCCCCCTCTGCTGCTCCCCCTGCTTGTGCTCTCTCTCTCTGTCTCTCTCTCGTCAAATGGATAAATAAAATCTTAAAAAAATAAAAGTACAGTAGGCAGCTTTATGCATAAGCAGAAGGTAACAGCTCCAGCTGTCACAATGAATGTGTCTTGACTGTCACACTTTTTAGGTATGAAGGCTGGTAAAGATGATGTTTACTTTATATCATCACCGTATGACTCTGGGGAAAGGGAAACTTATTTAGACTATATGTGACATGTTTAATTATATCAAAAAGAAGATACTGATGTGACATTCAGCCAGGTCTGTCCTTGGGCCCAATGTATTTCCCGTCAGGTTTGGTGACAACTGTTAACTTGGGTGGTGCACCAAAGAACAGACCGAAAGGCGAATGGCCCCCACACTTTATCCCATGGTCTCCCGGGGCCACACCAGGGACGCCCAAGCCACCTTAAGCGGAGTGCGCGCTGTGCCAACACTCCGGGCTCAGGCCCCCAGCCATCCTGGCTCTTTGACTGCTGCTCCTCCTATGGAGAAATTCTGGAGGCATCGTTGACACTGACATCAAAAAACCATAATGGAAATTCTGCTTTTAAATGCTTGTGTTTGAGATGTGAATTATAGGACCTACGCCTCTGTATTGTCCTCCTAGTTTTATTACCTGTCAAAAGGATGCTAGCTACTGAGAGACAGTGGCATTCTAGAAACTGATTTCCTCTATCAGGATTTAAAAGCACAAAAAGAACCAACAACTAATCACCCTCTCAGAGAATGTCTTTCACAAGAGGATTCACAACATGAGCTCTTCCATGTGTCTCTTTCTGGATATGCTCTGGGGATCAAAGAAGTCATATTTAGAGACCCATGAATTCTTCAAGTAAAAGTAGGGCAAGCTTATTTCATTTCTCATAATGTCCTCCAGGTGGATTCATGTTGTCGCATACGGCAGGATTTCCTTCTTTGGGGGAGGCTGAATAATATTCTGTTGGGCGGCTACACCACATTTTCTTTATTCGTGCTTTGATGGGCATTTAGGTTGTTCCCATATCCTGGCTATTGTGAATAGTGCCCCAGTGAACGGGGTAGTGCTAAGTGAAATAAGCCGGTCACAGAAGGACAAATACTGCATGACTGTACAGTACGAGATGAGTCAGTCAAGACTACGAATAGTCAGTCACAGAAGCTGGGTCGAATGGTAGTTGCCAGGGGCGAGGAGGGGGAAATGAGATGTCGTTCAATGGATATAATGTCTCAGTTATGCAAGAGGAGTAAGTTCTAGAGATGGGCTGCACAACATAATGCCTACAGTTAGCAATACCGTATTGTACACTCAAAAATTTTTTAAGTAGGTAGATCTCATGTTAAGTGTTCTTACCACAATAAAAAATTAAAACAATAGCTGAAAATAATGAATTTGGTTTTCAAAAAATGGAAATGATAAAGATATCCAAGTATATTTTTAAAATAAAATAAAGAAAATTACATTAATTTTCCAGGCTGAAAAAAAAAATAAAGGTACAACAGAGCCTACTTCTTATAGGCAGTTCTCCATCATTTATTTATATGCCCTGCTTTCCTTTCTCATTGCTTCCAACTTAACATGATAGGAAATATTCCTGAGGATTCAGACACCAGTTTCAGAGGCACAGAGCTTACACATATATGGAGACATTTCTCTTGATTTTTTTCCCACAAAACTCCTCTACACTGTCTTCACAATCAACTTAATGACAACGTAAAATTGACCTTGCTCTACCACAGAACGCACAGATTTGGTGGGCATCTCCCAGGCCAAGAAACAGAACTGAAGCAATGTGAAAAGATGCACAAAACCACAGTCTCCTATGAAAGCACCAAGTAATTCAGTTATTAACAAAGTTAACTCAAGTTTTAATTGCATTGTATTGCTTCAAGGATAAAGCAAGAAAACACGTGAGTTCAAGATTACCAGGAAAAGAGACACATATATGCATAATGAAATTGTATTCACACATTTTTATAAGCCTAGACTCATACTCACAGTGAAGTAGAAAACCACATCAAAGGAGTAGCAGCAACAGAAAAATTCACAGGTGGACAGATTTCAGTTCAACATGAAGAAGGAGTCTACCAATTATACCATGAATAAGCCTTTCAAAACACAACAAAATGGAAATACTAGCACAAGTATGGGAAAATACAAGAATGTTCTCTGCAGCATTATCTAAGGAAGGGAAATATATAAAGTTATGTTACATTCATGAAATGAAGTACTATGTAGCTGTTAAAAAGCATAGTAAATCTTTATGTATTGATTTGAAGGGCCGTTCATGCTCTATTAACTGAGGGGGAGAGCAAGTTGGGAAAACTACGTTTAAAATGATTTTAAAGGTTGTTGTGCTATATATGTGTGTGTTTACACATCTAGTCAAAAATATGGAAGCTACACATCAAACTGCAAACAGTGACAATCTCTATAGGGTAGGACTGAAGGGAAAAGTGGGAGACTTTCACAACTTTGCGTGATTATGAGGTATTTGGATTTGACACAGTCTGCATTATTTTCTTTTTAAAAAGCAACAAAGCTTGAATTTGCTATAAGGCCATTGGGAAATATACAAGAGAGGTACAAAGCTTCCACTCCCTGGAGTGTCCAAGCAGGGTGTGAATGGCCAGATGCCCTTTAGAATGTTGCAGAATAGATTGTTTGAGATGGGAGAGGAATTAGTAGAAACCCCTTACAATTCAAAAAATCACAGGCACGGGGCGCCTGGGTGGCTCAGTCGTTAGGCATCTGCGTTCGGCTCAGGTCATGATCCCAGAGTCCTGGGATCGAGTCCCGCATCAGGATCCCTGCTCCTTGGGAGTCTGCTTCTCCCTCTGCCTTTCTCTCTCGCTCTGTCTCTCATGAATAAAAAAAAAAAAAAAAAATCTTCTGCTCAAGCAATTAAAGCCTAATGTGGGCCCAAACATCATCGGACATCCTTTTGTCTGCTCTCGATCCACATTATCTACATCTATCATAGCATTTATCAAATGACAGGTGAACATCCTTTGCTTGTCTTTCTTTCTAATGGGCTATGAGCTCCTTGAGTCCACAGACATAGTCTCTTAATCTCTACTGCTCCCCTGCCTATCTCAGAGCCTGACCCAGAATACGTACTCAATAAATGTTGGTGAAATGAGTGAACAGATGAATGGATGAAGGAAGGCAGGCCCTTTCCACATACTGGGATAGGAGGGAGGGTATAAACCTATGGGGATTGTTCCTCCGGGCATTTTACAGATACTCTTCCTGCTACTTTGGGGGAGAAATTGATGTGTATGTAGCTCTTTCATACGCCATAGGCATCTGGGGGGCTATCTGACTTGTGGTGAGGAAGAATGAAGAGGAAAAGGCAAACAGGCCATAAAAAAGTGTGTGTTCTGTTTGTCACATGCTCAGCTCTCATGTCTCACCTTCACCACCTGAACTCCCACCCCTTACGCCTGGATTTGCTCAGCACAGCACATAGGGTCAGCATCCCCAGACAATGACCCACTGAAAAATCCGAAGGAGGATAAAAGAGAAGGTTCCCATTGCTTCTCCACTCCAGAAGATGTAGTGCCTTCCAACGAGAAAGGAAGAAATAGACATTGCTATAGAAATTCTAGAACTTTCCTACCCTGTGAGACTTTGAAGAGTTTCAGCTTTTTGTTTGCAACAGTGTAGGGAACATAGGGAAAAGTTTGCCAATGCCTCACAAGTTTTGTTGAATAAGTGAACTAGTACATTCAAGTAATCTCCATTTTGTGATGACTATTCTCCTCAGAGCACTTCCTAAAGGATCTACTTCAAGGAAACCGAATGCCCCATTTGGAAATGTGAAGGATCGTGTAAAGTAGAAGTCATTTGGACATTTCGCTTGTTTAAACAGCTCACCTCCTTGTTACCCTGTCTGCCAGGGGTCACAGGGGAGTGTCACACACCACCACAAGGCTGGGTGAGGGCTGCCTGGTGTTTTTTCTCCCTCATGCTCAGATCAATTACCTCATGCATCTAAGTCAACACTGGGCTTCTAGCAGTGCTATCATTAAATAGCAGCTGGAACTCTGTGTCAAAAGAATTCATTCTTCTGAAGCAAAACATGAATGGAATAATTTTGCAAGCACAAACCCTCAATTACCCTCTAGGATGGATACTCACTGTAAGTCCTACGTCTCCCTTTGGTCCTTGTAACCCCTACTTAGGGGAAGAAGAGTAACAGTCAATATAGGCTGGAAGTAGTTAATGTATAAAATTACAGTAAGACTTTAAAAATCACTCCTTGCCTGTCTTCCTGGGGATCCAGGCTCTCCAATTTCCCCTTTACCGCCTTTCTTTCCCATAGCACCCTGTTCTCCATGCTCTCCCTTTAGAATATAGTGAAAAGAGAAGTTTAGAATGTAAATATTGAAGCCAAATAAGAAAAACTCTAAAATTTAATTAATTTCCCAGTGGTATCTCTTGAAGACCTGTGGTTCTGGTTGACACAAATATACTATGGGAAAAAAATGGGGGTCATTATATTTACATTCCCCCCAGGTACCATGATCTAATTCATGATGAACCAGAGATCTCAAGGTGAGGAGACCTTGAGATACGATCAGAACAGCTCACTGTCTTCAGGAAGTTCAACTATTATAAAATTTTAGAGCAGTTATCTGGTGTCTTTTACAGGGTATGTTGTAAGGATTCACTCCTTTAGCAGCTGGCTTTCAAGGATGAAGAAAACAAGATTTATAAATTAAGCATGTTTATAGTTAGGAAAGGAAATCCATAAGGATTTGCTTCCAAATGGATTTTTTTCCTCCAAGAGCTATAAGGATATGAGAGCTCTCCCAAAGCTCACGTGAAGCTATTGAGATCCTAAACCTAAGCATCTTTCTAAGGTCCTAAAATAACTTACCTTTTGGCCAGGGAGGCCACGGCCTGTCAAGCCCTTTGGCCCTGGAAAGCCTTGGGGTCCTTGCTCCCCCTACACAATATGAAAAAGGGATCAGCCCATTAATTTCCCAAGATAACTCAGAAAATTCTTTGTCAGATACACACTTGCAATCCCAAAACTACATTGTAGCATTATCTAAATTTGGGGGGAAATGTATATGTCAGATGGGCTCATTGCTTTGCTAGTAAAAGTTGAACTTCTGAATCTGGGGTATAAGTAAGGAGCTGGTTTACAGCATTTGCCTATTTCTGTGGTGTAATTACTCCCACCTTGGCCAATTTTCAAACTGTGAACATTATGTCAACCAGTTCACAAATAACAAGCAGCTGTTATTTCAGTTGTGATATTAATGGTGATTTTTATAATCTTCTCTACATTTTTCTGTATTTTTGATATGCTAAAAACATGTGTTGTCTTAATAAAGGAGGAAAAGGGGATATAACAGCATCTGTCCCCAAATGAATGCCAAGGAACTGTTTATATAATTACCATATACTGTTAGTTCCAGTCCTGCTAATTGGTACCATGAATCTATTTATTTAGTACCTCCTTAATTCAGAAAATAAAAATGTTTTCATTGCATTGTTTTTAACTGCCCCCTCTACCTTAACTTTTTCTCCTGTTCCCCAACCCCTGCCCCCAAAACCACACTGATTTAAAGGGCTTTCATTATGTTGAGCGGGAAACAGAAATAATCCCTGTTGAGTATACGAAGTCATAGTTCTGACATGGCATAACTCTAAATCATTGTTAGCAACAAGTCTATGGCAAAGGTTTGTAGACCCATGAGCTACTGAGATTTCATTTGCTTACCTTGAACATCTTTCTCAAAGGTACCCTGACCACACCTACTAGAATCACTGGTATGCTTAATGAAAACCTCAGACAACGAAATGAGAATCCGAGATGGGGGTCAGGGTAAAATATGCATTTTGCCATAGGCCTGCTAGGGCTTGAGAGCCGCTATTCCAGAAGGCAGGATGGGCTTTTGAAGGATAGCCTGGAGGGGGTTGCAGAGGCCTGCTTGGAGACTGTTGTAACTTTGAGTATCAGCATTCCTCAGCCACCCCTTCCTAGTTCATTGGCTTTCAAACCTTTTTAAAATCAGCAGAACCCTTTCTTTTTAAAAGTATTAAAATGAAATATTTCAGACACATAAAATTTATACTGAAAGGCAAACACTCACCTATATACCACCATATTAAAAAAATGAAATGGTGCAGATACCCCTGTAACCCCTGATATACTCAATCCCCTTCCCCTAAGAAGAGGGGAAATCTCTGAAATTGACATGCATCACTCATATTCGTGTTTTTATGCTTTAACTACACATATATAGTCTAAGATAATGGACAGCATTTAATAGTTTAAACTTCAAATAAGTGATATATCTATGTATCCAATTTGTATTTTAAATCTCAGCATTATCTATTTGAAATATATCTGTGTGCATATACATAGTTCTAGTTCATTTTCTCTGCTGTACATTATGCCATTAAATAACTAGACTGTAATTTATCCATTATCCTAGTGATGGACATTTAGGTTGTTTCCAGTATTTCCTGATTACAAATAATGCTTCAGTGAAGATTCTCTTATATATCTTTGCACACTTGCACACATCCCTAGGAGGGAAATTTTCATTAAAACAAATCTTACACAGAAGGGTACAACATAGGATGAATATAATTGGAGACTCCTGTTGAAATGAAGTGCTCAACTCTTGCATCCATCAATAGCCCCTCTCAGTGGGTTGACTTAGCTGAATTTTAGGTCCTTTTCATTTCTGCCATGTTTTGTTTTTTTTTTTAAAGATTTTATTTATTTGCCAGAGAGAGAGAGAGAGCACAAGCAGAGGGAGTGGCAGGCAGAGGGAGAAGCAGGCTCCCC